CTTCTTGACACAGAACGTCGGAGCACTGTGCGGGGATTTCGATTCCCGCACTTGTCCAGCTTTGCGACGACTTTCAAAGAAGTCGTCGATCGCTTTGACTTGCTCTCGCGGCAGTGGCCACTGCCGCGTGACACAGTACTTCGTGCCCGGCACGAGATTAATCTCGTGCTGGATTCCCTTGTCCTGCGGAAGCTCCGCAGGAATCTCTTCCGGAAGTACGTCCGCGTACTCCCGTAAGATCTCGTAGTAGGGACTCGTTTTCAACGAGCCCCAGCTCTGCTCTTTAAAGCGCTCCTTCTTCGTCTTCGCACTGAGAGTGTCCTCGCTCTCAGTGGTGGTCTCCATGAAGAACTGCCTCAGTTCTTCTCGCTCTTCGTTCTCCCGGCGTCCGAGAGAATGCATATTTGCTCGATGCGTCCATCGTGCAAGTCACGCGCGAAGCGCTTCCAGCTCATGACTGGAAGCGAAGTCAACTCCGACGCTTGCGTCGGAGGGTTAGCGAGGGTCATCTCCCTGTACCGGAACCCGGCACAGGTACGCGTCAAGACGTTCAACGTCTCAACGTCCGGCTTCTCAGCCTCCGTCTGCCCGGCAGACATTCCTTGTAGCGTCTCGGCCCCAGGCCGAGACTTGCGCAGCGACCTTCGCATGCGCCGTCTTCTTGTTTTGCGGAGCCCGGCTCCGCTTGGTTCTTGACCTCGTCCAGGCCCAGCCATGGACGAGTGTTCTTCTTTAGTACCGCCAGCGGGTTCATCCCGCGGGCGAGCGACTTCAAGCCCGGCTTGGTCGCCCGGCTCTTCGTCGTGTAGCCCGGCTGCACGACAGCATGCAAGTTTTTCCGGTGCGGAACGTTTGCAACCGTCCGCACCGCCTGCAGCGTCGGCTACACGCCATCTTCACCTCGACGCCTGTTATTGGCGGAGCCCTCCATTACGGAGGGTGCGTCGGCTCCCCGAGCCGACGAATCAAATTCACCCAAGCCATCGACTCCCGGAGTCGACGGCGTTACGTCACCTTGGCTCTTAGTTTTGGCCAGACCTGATCCAATCAGATTCGCGTTAGCCTCCACGGCTGAGGCGTGTGACTCGTCTGCGTCATCCGTGCCCCTTGAGGTCGGAGATTCTTCCTGATTCGCTGAAAAGCGGGTGTCGATCTCCGAGATCAACACATTTTCTCCTTCAGCCGTCGGCGGCGACGCCGACGCTGGCTGTTCTTGCGCGCGTGCTCGCGCGCGCCCAGGGCGCTCCAGGACAGCGGCATTAGGCGCCGTCTCGAGTGGTGAGTCGCGCGTACCTGTCGGTGCGTGCGTAGCGGCAACAGGGCCATCGCTCACTGTTCCGCTGTCGCGACCGAAGCGCACGAGAGTGCGCTTCTCCCAATCGATGACCGGATCATGTCGTGCAAGCCACGGCATGCCCAATACAATGTCAAACTTATCGTCAAAATCCAGGACGATAAAGGTCTCGACACACTTTTGACTTCATACGTGAAGCGCACGCGTATCATGCGCTTCTCGGACTTCACGACGGCACCCGTTGCCAATCGTACTTCCAACATACTTCGAGGTATCTTTAAATCCTCGAAGTCAAGCCTTGATAGACTTCGCAGTCGAACAAAGTTCTTCGACGCGCCAGAATCTACCAAAGCACGGAGAGAGCCGCTTGCTCTCATCGAGTTCACATTCAGGATGACAAGGTCAGGCTTGTCATCTTGGTTCTTGCAGTGAGGATGAACCTCACTGGGGGCTGCCGCCCTCAGTGTCGCGTGTCCAAGGTCGACACGCGGAACTGCATTACCAGTAGGGCGCCCCGCGCCTACTGGCGTCCAGCGTTTTTTGTTTGGTTGCGACGGTGCCCGGCACCGCCGCGATAGCCACCCTGCTGGTGCACGGGGGCCGTGCACTCCCGAGCAAAGTGACCGATTCTACCGCATCGGTAGCATTGCACATTGTTTCCTTGCGACTGCTGGGGCCCAGCAGTTGCAGCACTCGAGAGGTCCATGGGTTCTGGGCCTCCCGTCCTCACTACCGGGCGTGGCTGTGGCCTCGGCACATGTGCATGCAGCTTAGCCTACCGCAGGCTAAACTCCTCCTGTATTGCAAGAGTAATAGCAGCTTCGAGAGTACTCGGGTACTCACGGAAGAGATAGGTCTTCACAGGCCCATCTCTCAGCCCCTTCATGAACGTGACGACCTTGGTCGCCTCGTTGATCGGATTGGTCACGATGTTCGAGACCAAGCACCGTGCTCTCTGAGCGTAAGCATGGACATCATGCTTGCCCTGCTGCAGGTCGAGGAACTCCGCCCTCGACCGGAACTCGTTTTGCGGGGGCTCAAACGCTTGTCTGAGCTCCTCCTTGAAACCCTCGTACGTGCTAAAGCACGTAGGTTCCGAGAGTCGGCGTCCATACGCCCAACTTCTAGCACGTCCGCCAAGACATGACATGGCGAACGCGACCTTCGACAACGGGTTGACGATGCGTCGAGCCGCAATGGCAGTGTCGAGTTCGACAAGCCAACGGAGGAGAGGCTCGCCCTCTCTTCCAACGTAATTGCTCACGCTGAGCTTCAGCGATTGCGCGCGCGGTGTCGTCCCCGACGACACCGTGGTAGACGAAGTAGCATCTCGCTGCTCCCTCATGATGAATCCCAGAGCAACACCATGTTGCTCTGTCAGCGTTAGCGTACGCAGCATCGTAGCTACAGCCGCCTCACCAATGACTGTTGACAGTCGTTGGAGACCTTCCCACTCTGGGTCCGACAGGTGGGGACAGTCAGCGCGTGCAATGTGAGTTGCAGGCATAGTGGATCTCTCCATGGACACCTCCGTATTCATGGGAAGGTTCTCAGCTCCGCGTTCGTGCGGTGACGTACGAACTCAGGTAGTCGGTCGTTGGACGGACTACAAAGTGCTACCAGGTGTAATGGGCCTACTTTGGCTCACTACTTTACCTTACACGTGTGCGCGTGTATGTGAGGAAGCGTAGCTTAGTTTAACGTAGAGTTAGTTATACTCGGGCCTCCGAGTATAGATTAATCTAAAAAAAAAATAAACGATCCAAATAATGTTTTGGGTTAAAATGAGAACGGCTATTTGTGTTTTATGTTTCTGAGTTCCTCTAAATGTAATATCCTAAACTAGGAATCTGCCAACGGCTGGTTGGCAGAATTCCAATGCTATGCATGTCGCTCATTGGCTAAAAGATGTTGCTTTCAGCCAATAGGAATCCTAAGTCTCTATGGACCACCCGTCGTGGTGATCCTAAATGTATGTAGCCTTTGGTGTGTCTACACCAAGGTCGAGAAAGTCTTTCGAACCTCTAACAGACGTCGTATCTGTTAGAGTTACAAGTGACTGTAGCCACTTGTGCGTGTAACCCTGTTACAAGAACTACTAGATCCACTCATTCCGTCGCCGCTACAATGACCACTGCCACCACCCTCCTCCCGTTACGTTCGCCACTATGCCTTCAAGCTTCGCGCCAAGTGCTAGCTCGACCTCCCTCTTCTCTGTGCATTTGGCACGCCAATGAAGCTCTCATACATGACAGCGCATTCCGCTGCAGCCGTAACTGCCGAATTACGAGATGGAGCTGGGTCGACCAGGCAATCGTAACAGACCAATATACCGTAGGAAGTATTTTAAACGAGAGCTATGCGTAGACTGGGATAGCTAAAGAATTTTGTGTAAGCCGGTCGTGCCGCTTGCCATCGCCAAAGCGACAATTCTGCGAAAATTACGAAAAACAACAATTTTCCTAGCTGTGGGGTACGTTCAATATATATATTTTAGCGAACCAAGGGTCTGGTGATAGTGATAAGCGCTGCAGCGTGCTGTAAAAAACGAAGCGTTAACGTCCTGGCCGAGCTCGTCACTGACCGGTAACACCTGCGAGAATTCAGCACGTTGTAGAAGGTCTATGTTACTCACAAGGTTGCTACGGTTTGGCTGGGAGATCATTTTTTCTACTAGTATTTGTTTTATCCTGAAAGTGCAAGTTCTGCATTGGTTGTTCTCAGACAGATAGTTTAGAAGAAATATTCTCAGATGCAGTATGCCGATGTGACACAATCTAAAACTGTAAGTAGAGTGAATATGTGTGCCTCTAATACGCGTTTGTATAGAACCCGTTTTATACTTTAGTGTCCACGAACTGCGTATGCAACTTGCGCGATGGGGTTTAAGCCTCAACTGTATGGACGGTTCTAATAGTCGATGGCAGACAGATGCTGCGGCTGCGAAAAGATGGTGGTTTTGCCGGCACAAGCTTTGATATAGTATTTCAAACACCACCGTCATGGATCAATCAGGAACCGGACGATGTCATTCGATACTTTCGCTTCGCTCCTTGAACTCAGGACGTCAGAGAGCATGTCTGTGTTTTCGCACAAGAGAAGCTACAATAGTTAGTTTAAATCATTTGCTCTTGTACTGTAGATGGACGAGCTGCCACAACAGATCGACCAATAGTTTCATTTTTGCTGTCTTTTGAGAGGCTGTGATGATGGCATGCAGAGCTTGGACATCGCATCCGCAACAAGCATATCCAATCCGCAGCAGGACTAGTAGTGACCTCCCTGAACAACCATAGTGAGGCGGATCCGAGCGGGTATCATGGACGGGAATACAGGCAAGACACGCAAGGATTCGTGCTGGAGTAATATGTATCCAGTAACTGCACCTACAGTTCTACCTGGGCTGCCGCGACGGCAGGATAGCGCTCACAAACTAGCTAAGGTAGTTTACTTTGCATTTTGCATCTACGCTGATAAGTACACGTTGGCTTAGTGGGAGTCCCAGCTCCCAAGTATCGTGACCACGTCACAAAGTTAACTTTAGTATCGTGTACGCGATGAGAACGAGCAGTGGACGATCGACTCAAGGTGGCCAGGTGGACTCCAGCGGTACCATGGAGAACCAATCGACTGATGAGGCAACTCGAGAACGGGCACTTCGACGAGCAGCTTCGCGGCTGCAATTCCGGTGATATCGTCTTCTCCCATGTCACCCTACGTCACGGACATCTCGCACCCGGCTTCGGTCAAGTGGACGCGAGAGAGAAGTGAGTATGAAGGTGCCGTTGAAGCTCGCCGTGCGGCTACGGGATAAGACAAGGGTAAAGCGTTGAGAAGTGGCAAGAACGCCTTCAACAGGAACTTGTTGGAGACTCTCTGCAAGTTCGAGTGGAATACGACCGTGGAAGCGATCACTGACGAGCAGATTGTTGCTGAGCTCGACAAGATTGTCGGAAATGTCATGAATGATGCTGTGATGGACGTTGACTAGATTTTTGGCAACAAGTTGAAGATGGACCTACGTGAGCGTGATGTGAAAGCGAGAGTGATTAACTACTTCATGCTTTGTGACGAAATCATCTTGCAGCATGGGCTGGCAAACACTTTTGCAACTACGACGGGAATGAAAGAAAAGTGCCGATTGTTGAAACAATATCTCGAGCCTGCAGCGCTGAGGGATGCAGTAGATGCGCATCATCCATTGGTGGAGGGTCTCGGCGGGTCAAAATAAACCGCCTGCCGAGGCCTCCAAAGTTTCATAGTGGGTACGCTTTATGCCCAGTAGGAGTTCGTATTTAGGACGAAGTTTCGTCCGATTGTATGATCAGCTCGAAAGCTCGGTCCACACTTGATATTTGTATAGACCATAGGGATTAGCTATAGGAGAGGCCTGACAGCCTCTCATCATTAAACAGAGCAGAATTTTCCCCCCAAGCCACACAAGGGTCAAGTCCGTCTACGGTAAGTCGCTAAGCTTAGCGTAGGGTCTGGATACACTCGGCTGCACGGGTATGCCTGCCGGTGAGCATAAGGTGCATTGACCGAGTGTTCATCCTGGTAAGGCCAAGAGTGGGTAGGTGGCCGAGTGTTGGGAGGTATTAGAGACCTCTGTGTACAGTTGTACGTTTGACTGGGTGTGAGGCAAGGACCCCCCAGTGTATTTGACTTCTAGCCGAGGCTTCGCCCCGGCGCCCCTGTAAGAGGCTTCGATTGGCCTGGTACCCTTCCTTTCTGAGGGACCACAGAGGTTTAGTGCGAAAGCACGTATTACACATTGCATCCTAGCCGTAGCTCGTGGCTGAGGGTGCTCTTATATTTTAACGAAGAGTAAACCTACCTGACCCGCAACACACAGGGAGGAACATTCCAGCCCGTATAAGGGATCGTACCTGGTCTTCAGGTTTATTATCCCGACAATCTATCGCCGACTCTTCGGAGACAGCGTGTGTTGTTGGTAGGGCTCGTCCTAGAGACTTTGGTTGATAGGGCGAGGACTCGTAAACTCGTGTTTTCCTACACGACAACTGGTGCCGCGACCCGGGACTGGTGTGACCGATTGTGTGTTGTGGTCTGTGTAGGTTTGGCCCAACGAGCATTGAGGAGAGAAGAAGAAGTGAAGAAGAGAAGAAGAAACAAGAACAAGAACAAGATGGCGAATGGATCCAAGTCAGCGGTACCAGCTACGCCGGTGAAGTCGGGACGAGGATCGGCCGAAGGTTCGTCAACGATCGCGAGTGACTTAACGTCTCCGTTGTCGACGATCTCCGAAAGGTCGGCCAGTTTCGAAGAGTCGGTCGACGAAGATTCGGACGCCAAGGATGACATGATGATGGACTATGATGACCTGGAGGAGATGACTCCAGCGACGACGCAATGCTGTCCGCGGGACGTAGCGGAGGCTCGCGCTCCTTGGCCCGGAACCTCGTCGCGGAATTTGATGAAGTGGCGAAACCCGATCATGCGGATGACGACTTTGAGGATGGCACCGAGACCTCGGCTTCGAGGGCTCTGGTGCATGTTACTAAAGGTCCTCAAGAATCCCGCGGAAGTCGGCCCGCTATGAACAGCAGCGCTCGAGCTGCGAACAAGGTGCTCGGCAGAATGCTCGAGCAGATGGTGGAGTCGAGCGAGTGGATATGGCAGTTCAATTTCGAGATGACGCGACAAGCGACTTGGGCTGAGCTGAAGGTGGAGTTGCAACATCGACCTCGGTTACTCAGGTGGCCGAGGACACGGTGTCCCTCCTACGAGCGATGGGCTGCGAGCCAAGGACTCGTCCATTCGAAGTCTCGATCAAGAGTTGGACGCCGGGACTCGCTGACAAGGAGCTATAAGTGGAAGAGGAAGCTTCGCCTGAGCTTCGGGGAGTCGGACCTGACTCTGGGACGCCCCCCGAGTGCTCGCCCCGCGAGGGAGCAAGCTGATCCTTCGAAGATCCCACTGCCGCAGACACCCAAGAAGTCTGCCGAGTGGTCAAACCTAAGTCAAGTGACGGACGGAGTGTTCTCCGCCAAGGCCGAAGGTTCGCCGTACTTCCAAGACTCGCACATGGTGACTCCTAAGTCGGCTAGTCGAGCCGACCGTATTGCGCGTGAGTCCGAAGGTTCGCGACGCAAGCAGAGCACGCAACGTAGCTCCACGCGACGCTCAAGCCGCCGGTTTACACCGCGCGATGACTCCTCGACCGACGAGGACGACAATGACAACATCGACTATGAAGATGGGTTTGACAGCCCGAGCGATGAGTTGGCCCATCAAGTGCCCGAAGTGAGCGAAATGGAGCGACTGAGTTCGACTCCTCAGCTCGAGATCGCCACACACCGGCCGCTTGCGCAGATCAAGAATTTCTCAGGGGCCCGCAATCGGAGTGAAAACTCTATGCAGTGGCTCCGAGCTTTCGTCTATGAGATGAAGGGAACGCAAACTCCGCCAAACGAGTGGTGCATGGCTTTCGAGCTGAGCCTTCGGGACGGTGCCCTTCACTGGTACCGTCAACTCCCGAAGAGGACTAAGCGTCAGTGGAAGCGACTGAGCGATGCGTTTACCAAGTATTTCTGCTCGCAGTTTAGCCAGCCTGCGAAGGCTCGCTACTACTCTGCGAAGCGCGAGTCCTCGGAACACCTTTGTGACTACCTCAACCGACTGAACGGTTATGCTCGTAATGTTGCCCTTCTGTTCGAGAGTGGTGGCCGCGATGCGAAGGACCATGTGCAGCGGTTCCTCGAGACGTGCGGTGGCCGAAGCCTCGAATGCCGGCTTTGCCACGTCCGAGTGAAGGACATTCACGAACTCGAGGACATGATCAACGACATCTTGAAGTCTGAAGAGCGTGGGCAGTCGCGCGAGACCTCGTCTCACCACTCGCGCAGTCGAGACCAACTGCTTCGTCGTGATGACCGTCGCCACGAAGCTTCACGTGACAGTTACCGTCGCGACCGCGACCGTCGTTACGAACGTCGCCGCGAAGACTCTCGCCGCCGCGATGACTCGCGCCATGTTCCGCGCATCTCGCTAGCTGAAGCTTCGCTGTCAGACTTGGTCGCTGAACTGCAAGTCCGCGGTACCAAGGGTGGTAGAGCCGAGCGCTCGTCGCCACGTCGGACCTCGTACAGCGACAGCGAGAGTGACGCCATGACGCCAGTGATTACCCATACTCTGAGAGTGATCGGAGCGATGGTGGCTACAGTGGCGTTAGCAGCTCTGGTGAGGACGGAGCTCACGTTGCTGCTGCAATGAGCGCGAGCGACGCCAAGCAGCTGGAGGAACGTACGCGCGCCGAACACTTGCCCAATGAGATCAACTTGGAAGATTACGCTCATGAACTAGCTTTCCTGCCCGACCTTACAGAATCCTCGGTCACGGAACTGGACTACTCGGCTGAGAATGTCCGGCACCCGGAACTGAGTAGTGGACGGCAGGATCGCTTAGTGAAGGTTCTGAAGAAACATGAGAAGATCATAATATCTAGTGGCAATGCTCTACCACCGCCTGCGTACGGTGTAGTGTGCGACATCGATGTGCAGGGCCATGCGCCTATCAAGCAACGAGCCCGGAGAATTCCCCTCCGACACCTCAAGAACCTTTACGAGCTCTTGCGAGGTTTGCTCAAGGCAGGTCTGATCGCGTTCTCCAACAGCCCATGGTCGTCACCGATCGTGATTGTGCTGAAGAAGAATGGCGTAGATATCAGACTGTGCATTGATTACAAGATGGCGAACACAGTCACCGCTATCATGGAGTATGCAATGCCCCTTGTGGATGATCTGCTCACAGACCTGGAGAAGTATCTGTGGTACTGCTCGCTTGATGCGGCGAGTGGATTCTGGGCGATCATGATGACACAGAGGGCTCGTCAGATCTCTGCGTTTGTGTGTGCACTAGGTCCTTTCGAGTGGCTCAGAATGCCCTTTGGGCTTAAAAATGCACCTATGATCTATCAACGAATGCTCGACAATGCTCTGTGGGGCTTTGTTCAACTAAAGGGTGGATGGAAGCATTACGCGCGTCTGATGGCAGAAGCTGAAGCACGCGACCGTGAACTCGCCAACGCCTCGACTGAACAGTCACATGAAGAGTCGTCCGACCCGGACCAGTCGCCTACGAAGTTTGAAGCGGGACTTGGACTCGGATCGAGCGAAAGCTCGGTCTCGGAATTAGTCAACAGTCCTATTGCGGACATGTTTGCGAATGGAGAGCCCGACGAGTCTTCGTTGGTGCCGGGTTTCGAACGGCGTTCGTTCGTTGACGATATTTGCTTTGGTGGCGAGTCTTTCGATGCATGTCTAGCGACGCCCGATCGACTCCTCGCCCGGATCGAGGAATGTCGGATCAGCGTGAGCTTCACCAAGAGCATTTTTGTGCAGCCCAAGGTGGACTTCCTGTCTCACGAAGTGTCCCGGAGTGGTATTAGAGCGGACCCTAAGAAGTTGAAGGCTATCACCGAGCTGTCCTTCCCAAGGTCCAAGAGGGGAGTGCAAGCTTTACTTGGCGCTCTGAACTACTACAGCCGCTTCATACAGGACTTTGCTGTCTACGGTGCCGCGCTCTACCAGCTGCGAGACGAAGACTTCGCACCAGGGGGTGACCTCTCTGCAGCCAAGCGAAGCTTCGCGGCATTGCAACGAAAGGTCGGTGAGGCACCTGTCCTCCGACACTTCGACCGTGACCGAGAGGTCCATGTGATGCTGTTTCCAAATGAATGGGCCGTGAGCACCACGCTCATGCAGGAGCACGATGGCCTGATGCACCCGGTGCGTTTCTGCGGCCGAGTGCTCAAGGACGCCGAGATGAACTACCACCCGGCGGAAAAGGAAGTACTGGCTTTGCTGCAGCTGTTGAAGGTGTGTTACACCCAGCTGGCCGGTCGGACCATACATGTCTACACGCGGTTTTCGACGCTCGACTGGGTCCACAAGTCGAAGACACTCTTCGGACGCGCAACACAATTTGCCGTCTTACTGTATCCGTGGAGTCTAGTAGTGCACCGAGTCAAGGAAAAGGATTGCGCTTTCGCACAGCTTTTGCAGTCGACGATCACAAGCTTCGTTGACCTCGAAGACTCGTTGGCACCTGTGCCCCTCGAGCCAAAGGCTCGCCGAGTGTTCGGATGGATCCGCATTTGCTTTATGCACGGTTGCCACGTACCTACAGTGGCTACGTACTTTCGTTTGTTGGCTCGGCAAAGATCGAGAAGCATGGTGGCTACGGCAGTTGCGCCTGGATACTATGGCGACTTCCTGAATGGTGTGTAGTGATCGCTGCGAGTGCGTATCCCGAGACCACGACTCTAAACCTCGCTGAGTACACCGGAATGAACAACGGGGTCTCTGCCGCCCTAGAACATGGGGCCGAGGACTTAGTCATCGTCGGGGACTCGAGACTCGAAATCCAGCAATCCCTAGGGGTGATCGCTTGCCATAAGGAGTCGCTGATGGCACAACTGAACAAGCACAAGGAACCGACCGCGAGAATTCGGTCCGTAAAGTACATACATGCTATCCGAGAGTTCAATGCAGCTGCAGACTCTTTGGCGAGCGAAAACTTGGAGAAGAAGGTGTCGATGACGGTGAACAGCGAAGACCAAAAACGAGAGTTGATGGAATTGAATCGGATCCGAGAAGTGCTCTATGAACCGTCAGCCGAAGCCTTTGAAGGTTCTGGAGAAGTCGTAACAAGTCACGTGTACTTGATACGTGTGATGGATACGCGTGACAGTGACCGTAATAAGATTTTTTTCGATTTTGTACGGGACACTGGACATGTAGCCGCGGTAACGAGGCAACAAGCCCGCGCGCGTGCGAAACAAGTACGCTTTGCCGATGAAACTTCGGGTGATGAACCAGAAGAGGGAACCAAAGGAGACGAAGCTAATGCCGTCAGCAACGAAGAGTCTAACGAACTTCCGGACCAGCCGAGACCTGATGCAACAGTGGTCCATGAATCGAGTACTGACGACATCGACCCACAAGTTGTGCACGAAGAACGGCGCAGGCGCATTGGCACAGCCCAGGATGAGGAGCTCCGGTGGTCGAACCTCAAGATGGTGCTAAAGGTAGACGAAACGAAGCTTGCCTACAAAGCTGCACGCGAAGCCTGGAAGATGGCTGACGAGTTCGTGTTAAGCGAAGATGGCTTGCTGTATTTCCTCGGTGCGAACCGTCGGTGGGGTCGCGACCGAGCCGAGGAGACGACACTACGTCTAGTGGTGCCAACAACGATGGTTCAGGAGATCCTACAGAACTGTCATGACTCGTTGGAGGACGGTCACCAAGGTATCGTCCGAACCTACTACCGAGTCAAGGCTGACTACTATTGGATTGGCTTATTCGCTGATGTGGAGAAACACGTACGCTCGTGTCCGGACTGTAGCTCAAGCAAGAGTCGCCCGCAGCTGCGTGGGTACTCCCCAGGCAACATCCTGGCCGAGCTACCGCTACAATTTGTCTCGATGGATTTTGTGATACCCCTACCGAAGACTCGGCGGGGCAATACCGCACTGCTACTGTTTCAGTGTGCGTTCACTGGATTCGTCATGGGCAAGGCGATGGCGGACACATCTGCACTCTGTGTAGCACAAGCATTCGAAGAGTGCGTGTACCGAAGGTTCGGAGCGCCGTCTCTGATCAGGCGTGACCGAGACCCGCCCTTCATGAGCGAGGTCTTCCAAACCTTCGCCGAGATGATGCAGTCGAGATCTAGGGCTACGTCGAGCTATCGGCCGCAGGCTAACGGCCAGCAGGAACGTTCGGTCAAGACCGTAATGCAATCGGTGCGAGTGTACGCGGAAGACCCGCTACAACAAGATTGGGACGAGATTGTGGAGAAGTTGATCTTTGCGATTAACAACTCGCAGGACGGCACGAGGAAGGACACGCCCTTTTACTTGGTGCACGGACGGGACGCATGGTCGACCCGCCGGGCAATGTCCTCCTCGCTGAAGCGAGGCTTCGGGCGACAGTCCGATGCTTTAGCGTGGCGCCGAGAAGTCAACCGGCAACAGGAGGTGGCCTTGGAAATGGCTAAGGAGTACCAAGCAGTCGAGAAGGCTCGGCGAGCACAAAAGCATAACGAGGCTTTGAGCCGAGCAGAACGTGCTGCGCTTCCACCTTCCGCGACTGGCGAAACCTCGGAAGATGATCCGACAGGTGCAGAGGGTGAGGGTGACACACCAGACCCCGCACCGAAGTCTCTCTTCCAGCCTGGTGATCGTACGTGGCGTTACATGGAACGCGTCAAGCCAGGGTTGACCAAGAAGTTGGCTCATCGATGGCATGGTCCCTTCCGCATCAAGCAGAAGGTTGACGAGTATGCGTACGAGTTGGATTTGCCTGACAAGAGTGGTTACCGGTTCTACCCGGTAGTGCATGTGTCCCGGTTGAAGGCGGTGAACGAATTTGGCGATCGGCCGAAGGCTCGACTGGCTGCTGAAGTAACCTAGGAGACGCGACTAGATTTCGACGAGGAGTTACTCCCGGAGGATAGTTGGGAACCCGACCACCTGGTAGGCGAGTATGAGGTTGAAGCCATCTTGGATGACCGAATTCCCCTCTCGATGAGCACTGAGCGGGCCGTCCGAGAGTTCAAGGTGAAGTGGGTCGGCTATGACGAACCATCGTGGGAGCCCGCGTCGAATCTGTATTGTGGCGGACTGCTGTATGACTATCTACGCGAGAAACGACGTGACCGAAGGTTGCAAATAGTCCAAGTCGCTGACGAGGACTAGTTGCATCCCTCTCACCATGATGAACTGCCGGCAGGGCTACGCAGCCTGCCCCAGAAGACGAAACATGTTACTGCGGAAAGATGATTGCATATTTGTATGTTGAAGTGGACAAGACTTTACGAAGTGGAGATCACGACTGGAGAAACTATGGAGAACAGCTGAAGAAGGACAAACGACTACTGAATTGCATGGGCGAGCTAGTTATACTACGAACGAACTGTCTGAATACCCTGATCTAGCTCGACCTAGACATGAAGGAACGATGGAGAACTGGAACGAAGCTTAGGCGTCCGAAGACGAGGCAACCTTGGCCAAAACGCGGAGACGCGCAGTCGGAGAAGCTTCGGCTTGCGTGGCAGCTTGATCAGCAGCACTTGGAGGCGAACGTGGCGCGTCAGCTGGAGTCTCGCTGACTGGGGCCTCCTCAAAAGGGGCCTCCGAAGCCGCGATGCGATCTTGAACCGAGTCCTGCGTTGCCGTTGCTGCATCTTGAGCCCCTAGCGCATGTGTAGCTTCGTCCGAAGTCTCTTGAGCATCCACGGCGCGGCGAGACTCGTCCTGAGCCTCTTCCGAAGACCCTTCAGCAACCGGAGACTCGATCTCTTCGATCAGCTCCTCGACCTCCTCCTCTTCCGAGACTTCGTCTTCACCTGGCTGCCCGTCCTCCTGCAGACCGAAAGGAGGCCCGTAGAAGTTCGTGAACTCACGCACCCACGGGGCCGTAACACGGCGAGGGTCCAGCACTGGGTTGACCGTAATAGCTGTCGCGACGATGTCTTCGACAGCATACCACTGTGCGGAAGAACGCGGAGGAAGTCCCGAGGCCACGTGCGCAGTAGCAGGCAGCGGGTCACCCGTGCGGCAGAAGTGCGCAGCATTTGACGAAGGCTCGTGCAGAGGACTGGAGTCGGGCGAGGACCTGAGGACCAGCTGAGTACACGCAGGGTCCCACTAGCGGACGGCAAAGCGGGAGTTGGCAACGTCGGAGCCGCTGCACTCGAAGCCGAAGTCTCTCCAGTGCTTGCAGCCGAAGCATGGGGCGCGACGACCGAAGGTGCGGCCTGGAGACTGCCCGCCACCCCCGGTGCTCCTGCAGAGGCGGGAGTTGGTGACGGAGCTGCTCCGGCGCTGCCACCAGCACCAGACGATGGCGCTGAAGCTACAGGAACTGCAGCCGAAGCCTGGGGCCGTCGGGGCGCCCCGCTTGCTGACGCAGAGGGGGTAGTTGGCGCCGCCGAGGCCTCCGAGGCCGGCACCGACGAGTCGATGACCTGCCCCGTGGGGCCACGCAATTGAGTGTCCTGCAGCAAGATGCAGCAAGTTGAAGACGGTTAAACGCGATGAAGAGATCAAGCACAGCCTTAAGCACCTCGCACGAAGCCTCACCTGGACGACTGGACCGAGGTCCGGGAAGGTGAAGGGCGGCGCGCTGCCAGGACCGCCGGAGGGCTGCATGGCGTCGGAGCGCAGAGAGGCACGAAGGCAACACGACACGCACCACTTGGGACGGCTCGGGTCGAGTTGGGGGCCGCTGTGAGATCGGGACATGACTGCGGCCGGGCGAGTTCCGGTCGAGGTCTAACTGCCTTGAGCTAGCGAGTAATGCCTGACCGAGGGCTCTGATTGGTCGGTCACATTCCCCGCGCTTTAGTGCCCTGACGATTAATAGAGACTACGGAGTGACAGGAGGGTCTCGGCGGGTCAAAATAAACCGCCTGCCGAGGCCTCCAAAGTTTCATAGTGGGTACGCTTTATGCCCAGTAGGAGTTCGTATTTAGGACGAAGTTTCGTCCGATTGTAGGATCAGCTCGAAAGCTCGGTCCACACTTGATATTTGTATAGACCATAGGGATTAGCTATAGGAGAGGCCTGACAGCCTCTCATCATTAAACAGAGCAGAATTTTCCCCCCAAGCCACACAAGGGTCAAGTCCGTCTACGGTAAGTCGCTAAGCTTAGCGTAGGGTCTGGATACACTCGGCTGCACGGGTATGCCTGCCGGTGAGCATAAGGTGCATTGACCGAGTGTTCATCCTGGTAAGGCCAAGAGTGGGTAGGTGGCCGAGTGTTGGGAGGTATTAAAGACCTCTGTGTACAGTTGTACGTTTGACTGGGTGTGAGGCAAGGACCCCCCAGTGTATTTGACTTCTAGCCGAGGCTTCGCCCCGGCGCCCCTGTAAGAGGCTTCGATTGGCCTGGTACCCTTCCTTTCTGAGGGACCACAGAGGTTTAGTGCGAAAGCACGTATTACACATTGCATCCTAGCCGTAGCTCGTGGCTGAGGGTGCTCTTATATTTTAACGAAGAGTAAACCTACCTGACCCGCAACACACAGGGAGGAACATTCCAGCCCGTATAAGGGATCGTACCTGGTCTTCAGGTTTATTATCCCGACAATCTATCGCCGACTCTTCGGAGACAGCGTGTGTTGTTGGTAGGGCTCGTCCTAGCGACTTCGGTTGATAGGGCGAGGACTCGTAAACTCGTGCTTTCCTACACGACACGTGTCGGGAGATCGATGACGACGACTTGATCGATGATCCCGACGGACTACCAGCATGCAAACCTACGGTTGGAGAGATTGTGACGAATGTTGTGGATGCTCTGGTTCGTGACGCCGTGGATCGAGGTGTGATCGACAAATACACGACTGATCGACTGTATACAATTATTCGAAGGTACGGCGGATGGAGACTGAAGTTGGGGGATGACCCGCCAGCGCGTGTTCCTCCGCTGAAGATTAGGTTGCAGCCGAACGCCACTCCTTACAGGTGCAAGGTTCGCTAGTACAGCCCTGAAAAATCGACGTTCATCGCTGAGTTCAATCAGAAGCTAGTGGCTCTTGGCTGGGTGTACGAAAACAGAGCGAGTCGCTGGTGCTGTCCCGCGTTACTTGTGAGAAAACCTGGCACAGATGAATTCAGACAGACCAATGACTACCGACCTCTGAATGCTGTGACGGAACCAATCGCAGGAGTAATGCCAAGTTTGGAGGTTGCATTAGAGCACTGCAAGGGCAAGATGTTCTACGCCGTGTTTGGCTTCCTCAAAGGCTTTTGGCAGCTTCCGCTCGATGATAGCTGTCAAGAGTTCCTGTCTTACATGACCGACAAGATCTTTTTTACTCCGACACGTGTGCCGCAAGGGAGCACAGACACAGCGCTGCATTTTCAGTCAACGATTGAGATGGTGTTGGGCGATTTGGTGGGCACGTCTGTCATAGTCTGGATTGACGACCTGCTCGTTTTTGCGGACACGGCGGAAGAGCTGCTGGAAGCAATTGAGGCAACATTGACACGCCTGGATGAATACGGGTTGATCCTCAATCCTAAGAAGAGCGCCTTATTCCTGACTGAAGTGCGATGGTGTGGAAGGATCATTATCAAGGCTGGCATCGGTCATGGCCCCAAACGCATCCAAGCGTTACCAGTGCCGACAACTGCCGCTGAGTTGCAGCAGTTTTTGTGTGCAAGCAATTGGATGAGATCAACTCTGGTAGTCTACTCGAGAGTGGTCAGACCTCTGCAGGAGTGCCTAGATCGCGCTCTGAGCCGCACGAAAAAGACAAAGATGGCCGCGGCGGGGATAAGACTGGAGCTCACTGATGACGAACTGAGAGCATATTCCGAAGTGAAGAATTTGCTTGGTAATTCAGCGATGCTGGCTTTTCCTGACCCTGCAAAGCAGCTATGTGTGCTGTCAGACGCGTCAGATTCTGGTTGGGGACTGGTAGTCACGCAAGTGAGTCAGTGGCAACCGGACGTACCAATTCACGAGCAAATGCATGAACTCCTGATCTGCATGGGAGGAAGCTTTACTGGGTCGGCGCTCAATTGGAGCGTGATCGAAAAAGAATCGTTCCCGATTGTGCAGGCATGTGTGAAGTTGGAGTACCTGCTTTTACGACCGCAGGGCTTTCGACTATACTATGACTACCGGAACATCATTTACCTGTTCTGCCCTGGGAAAAGGCTCAAAAAGCACGTGAGGGGAAAATTACTGCGCTGGTCGACGAAGCTCTTGGCGTACCGCTATACCATTGAGCATATTGAAGGGGTCCACAACGTGGGCGGATCTGATATCGAGGTGAGGTGGCCGAGCACTGCCGGCAGCACGTTTCAACGCGGTGAAGCGTTTCACACGATCAAAGAGGGCACCTGCAGCGGCCAGTGGCGATAAAGAAGACAGTACTATGACTCCGCTGCGTCCTCTAGACGCAGACAATTTCGTGTGGCCCACCATTGAGGAGATTGGTTGCGAGCAAGCCCGACACATGGCTCCGTCGAGGGCAACCCTCGATGATGATGATTTGTGGCGTATTAGTGGAGTGATTTGGATACCGAGTGGGGCTACAGACCTGACTCGCAGACTGCTTATTATTGCACATTGCGGTCGCAACGGGCACCGCGGTATGCATGTGATGCAGAATCACATTCGCCGGTTGTTCTACATTACTGGTCTCAACGGGATTGTGCGCGATTTCTGCTCGAAGTGCTTGCTTTGCTTGCATGTGAAGGGTGGGGTTATTATTCCTCGGTCATTCAGCGAGACCCATCACACGTTTGAACGTAATGAGACTCTGCACTGGGACGTTTTGACACTCGGTGAATCTTTTGGTACATCTCGCTACGCTCTAGTTCTTAAGGACGAGGCAACGCATTTCGTCGAGCTAGTGGCTTGTGATAGCCCGACTTAGGAGGTGGCTGTGAGTGCGATCCTGGATTGGTACAGTCGCTTCGGAGTGGCTACTGTATGGGTGAGCGACGGCTGCGAGTGCGATCCTGGATTGGTACAGTGGCTACTGTATGGGTGAGCGACGGCTGCGAGTGCGATCCTGGATTGGTACAGTGGCTACTGTATGGGTGAGCGGGATCACCGTTTAAAAGCAAGGTGGTTGCTGAGCTCAGTCGGAGACTCAAGGGTCGTCAAGAATTTATCCTCGCATACTCGCCTTGGAAGAATGGCTCTGTGGAGTGAATGAACCGAGATATTTTGCAAGTGCTGGAAGCTTTGGCACTGGAGTTCAAAGTAAGCATCCACGGCTGGCCCTACCTGCTACCACTAGTGCAGTCGAGCATTAACCACTCGCCAGTACCGTCTCTCTCCAACCGTGCCCCAATCGAGCTGTTCACTGGATGGCCATGCCCGAGCATATTGGACACAGTTTTCTTTCCGGGGGAGAAGGGGCGTCGCCGAGTGGCTACATTGGACCAGCTCCGCCCTAGCACGGAGCAGCAGCTCACGAAGCTGCGAGAAGACATCCGGGACATGCACAAAGCTGTGAAAGCTGAGCGAGAGCGCCAAGCCCGGAGGTACCGAGGGCGACCACACTACGAGCAAGCAGTGAACTTTTCGGTCGGCGACTACGTGTTGAGGTCACGTGTCGACGAAAAGTTGCATGCAAACTAGCTGCGTGTGATGTGGGTCGGCCCGTACCGTGTGGTTGGCAGCGCTGACTACTACTTCACGGTGGAGCATCTGATCAACGGTAGCACGATGGACGTGCACCCATCTCGGCTAAAGATGTACGCTGATCACTCGCTCAATATCACTGAGGAGCTCATCGACCACATCGCTTCACAAGGAACGGTGCTCGCTGTGGAAGCGATTGTGGAGCACAGGATGAACACAGACATGAACGCATACGAGGTGAAGGTGAAGTGGCTGGGTCTCGAGACAATCGAGGACTACTGGGAACCGCTGAAGACGATGAGTGAGGATGTCCCCCAACTACTTCTACAGTATGCAACAACAACAAGTGATGTAACAGGGTTACACGCACAAGTGGCTACAGTCACTTGTAACTCTAACAGATACGACGTCTCTTAGAGGTTCGAAAGACTTTCTCGACCTTGGTGTAGACACACCAAAGGCTACATACATTTAGGATCACCACGACGGGTGGTCCATAGAGACTTAGGATTCCTATTGGCTGAAAGCAACATCTTTTAGCCAATGAGCGACATGCATAGCATTGGAATTCTGCCAACCAGCCGTTGGCAGATTCCAAGTTTAGGATATTACATTTAGAGGAAGTCAGAAACATAAAACACAAATAGCCGTTCTCATTTTAACCCAAAACATTATTTGGATCGTTTATTTAGATTAATCTATACTCGGAGGCCCGAGTATAACTAACTCTACGTTAAACTAAGCTACGCTTCCTCACATACACGCGCACACGTGTAAGGTAAAGTAGTGAGCCAAAGTAGGCCCATTACACCTGGTAGCACTTTGTAGTCCGTCCAACGACCGACTACCTGAGTTCGTACGTCACCGCACGAACGCGGAGCTGAGAACCTTCCCATGAATACGGAGGTGTCCATGGAGAGATCCACTATGCCTGCAACTCACATTGCACGCGCTGACTGTCCCCACCTGTCGGACCCAGAGTGGGAAGGTCTCCAACGACTGTCAACAGTCATTGGTGAGGCGGCTGTAGCTACGATGCTGCGTACGCTAACGCTGACAGAGCAACATGGTGTTGCTCTGGGATTCATCATGAGGGAGCAGCGAGATGCTACTTCGTCTACCACGGTGTCGTCGGGG